TCGGAGTTATATTAAAAATTGTCTTTGATCTTTCAAGCTGTTTCATGGCACTCAGCGGGTGTTGCAGTGCTTCAGCCCAAAAGAAGGGAAATAAAAAGCGCCCATCCATAAAAAAAAAAGTGTCTCACACGGCTCTGGGGGATGAACAAAGGCTTCCTGTAGCGAATTGATGCGTTTTTGTAAGAAAAATATCCATATTCAAAACATAATAATCACTTTATTTGCTAAAGTAAGGAAACTTTGCTTCCCTTGCTCCTGTAAACAAACATTGGTTTTCACGAGACTCACCGGCGCATGTGCAACTCTGACCTCATACGTCATGCTCCCGGAGCTGCTTCTGTGTACAACTGTTGGCGCAAGCTACATTAAAGTGATTATTACGTTTTGAATATTTTATTTTTCTTACAAAAATGCATCAATTCGCTACAGGAGGCCTTTGTTCATCCCCCAGAGCCGTGTGAGACACTTTTTTTTATGGATGGGCGCTTTTTATTTCACTTCTTTTGGACTGATGCATGCAACACCCGCTGAGTGGCATGAAACAGCTTGAAAGATCAAAGACCATTTTTAATATAACTCCGACTGGATTAGTCTGAAAGAAGAAAGTCATATACACCTAGGATGCCTTGGGGGTGAGTAATTTATGTGCTAATTTTCATTTTTGGGTGAACTAACCCTTTAAAATTGTATCATTCTATTATCCAGATTTTAGTGACCTTTTTTTTTTTTAAATGGTAGATGTGTTTATTTAAAGCAATTTACAGTATATATTACCGTACGGTTGTTAAGATTTTTTTTATGTTTTTGAAAAGTCTTTTATGCTCACCAAGTTTGCATTTATTTGATAGAAAAAGCATATTAAAATAAAGAAATAATGTTGTAAAATATTGCAAAATATTATTACAATTAAAAAAAACTTTTCTATTTTGATATTTTTACATATTTTTAAAAATATAAGCTATTCCTTGTGATGCAAAGCTGAATTTTAAGCATCATTACTCTGTCACATGATCCTTCAGAAATCATTCTAATGTGCTGATTTACTTAAAAATATGTCTTATTGATCAATGTTGTGCTAACAGTTGTACTACTTCATATTTTTGTGGACACCATGGTACATTTCTTCAGGATTCTTCGATGAATAGAAAGTTCAAAAGAACAGCATTTATTTGAAATGAAAATCTTTTGCAACTTTATAAATTACTTTACTGTCACTTTTAAAGAACTCATCCTCGCTGAATAAAAGTATCCATTTCTTTTAGAAAAAAATCATCCTGACCCAAAACCTTTGAACAGTAGTACACTTATAATGGATAATCCTGCAGAACCTTTATCTAGTATGTTACTTACCCATCTCTTCTCGTTGTCGCTCTGAGAGTCACTGACCTTTCTTTGGAAAGCCCATGTCTTTTTCCACATGACAGTCTGATCTGATGTAATATTTCCTGTAGAGTCCATTAGGAATCATCATCATTCACAAAGGCACAACAGCTTTTAGTTTGGGAAATCATTTCTTGTGGATGATTGGGTTGAAACTATTTTTCACAAGCACCTTAGGAAGGAACATCTTTTTTTTTCGTGGAACATAAAATAATATATTTTGAGAAATATTTCAGTGTTTCTTGTCCATACAGTGGAAGTCAATGGTCACCAAAACTGTTTGGTTACCAACATTCTTCAAAATACTTTTGTGTTCTGCAAAAGAAAGAAAATCAAACCGCTTTGGAATGACATGAGGGCAAGTAACTGATGACAGAATTTTCATTTTTGTGCAACGGTGTCTTTAAAACTTGCAGTATCATTATTTTGTATTCTCTGCTTAGGCACAAGACAAGAGGAAAGCCCTTGAGGAGACCAAAGCCTACACCACCCAGTCCCTGGCGAGCGTGGCCTATCAGATCAATGCCTTAGCCAACAATGTGCTGCAGCTGTTGGATATTCAGGCTTCACAGCTGCGAAGGATGGAGTCCTCCATCAACCACATCTCTCAGGTCAGCCCTGGGCACCACAACACCATCAAAACACAACCAGGTGTTCCTTCCTTACCCGGCATTCATTAGAGATTAAAAAAAAGACCAGTTATCTTCTGACTACTTTTAAAACAGTGAAAAATGTAGAATCAAGGTTTAAGCTGAATTTTTTCTTTCATTGTTATAAATCCAGAACTTAAAGGCACAATATGTAAGTTTTTGCCGCTAGAGGTCGCATTTTCAAAACAATAACAAAGGCGAAGCTTGATGACGCTATGAAGGAGAGTGGAACGATGGCAGATGTTGTTGTCACCATCCAGAGATGTATGGAATTCACGAATCATGATCACGGATGAGGTAATGAATGATTTTTTAAATTACCTGTATGTACCTTCCACAGTTATTCAAACAGCGAATAAATTATGCAGAGAAAGCGAGCAAAGAACATTTACAGGTTTAATGAATATTATGACTGACTTCAGTCTAGCACGAGTTTAAGCACTCTCAAAAAACTCCCCTTATAAGCAGTAAAGCTGACTATACACGGTTTGATGAATGAATCTCTTACTTACATCATACGTACATCTGCACTTTGTTGTTTATGATGAGAGAATTCGCGTGGCAGCAGAGTTCAGTCAGCGAGCGCGTGCAGTGAACAAAAAACTCATCTGGTCAGGGTTGCCAGGTTTTCACAAGAAAACCCGCCCAATCGCTACTCAAAACTAGCCCAATCGTGTTTTGAGGGGGTCCCCAGTTAAAAATCGTGTTACTGGGGGTAAAATACAAGTTTTTTGGCGGGGTTCCCCTGCTAAAATTCGCATTCCAGGTGATAAATATCATGTTATTGGAGTCGCTTCAACCCGCGGACATGAAAAACAACCGCGGCAACAGTGTTAAAGTAGCCTAATTCCTGCGGACTTGGCAACATTGCATCTGGTGATGATGACTCATCTGGACGCCTCTGATTGGCCATTGCATTCATAAACTCAACAGAGTCGTGGGTGATTGGTTATAATGCGTAACACTTTTAAAACGCGGAAAAAGAAACATTGAGCAAATCTAAATTGAATGCAGCAGTCAACACTTTTAATTTCATTTCTATTTTATTCGCGACAGCCGTAATGAATTTAGTTTAACTGTACAGCAGCATTTTTTTTATTTTTAGTTTCTATAAGCGGAAACCGAGGATAGTGCGGATATTACATCATTGATAGGCGACAATGACCAGGGACGAGTCATTATTTAAAATGGGAATTTCTCTGGATTTACAAATCCTTGGGAACTTTTGGGATAACGTAAGTACACAACTGCATGAAATATATCACACTGTGCAAGTGGTGTTTGGATATTAAATCTTACATATTGTGCTTTTAAAACAAAGAGACAAAAATATCACCTACAATGTTTTTTACCAATATACTGGATTGAACATGATTCTCCAATTTTACACACTGTTTATCGCACACATGCAAAGTTAAAAACTATTATAAAATTCACTTGGCATTTATTCATTTGTTCGTTCACTCAGTTAAAAATAAAATAAAATTTAAATAAACACAACAGTTGTAAAAAATATTTGACAATAATGTAAATGTTATTATTAAAACCTTCTGGCTGCTCCCTGTTTAAATTGCTTGGAGGTAGGTAAATGACCAAAATCCTTTCCATGATACTAGTATTTAAAAAAAAAAAAATTTTTTACAATGACACAACTAATTTGCGACCACAGTAAAGAACACAATCTTCTTATAGTAATTCTGCCTGAAATCAGAGCTGCTACTAATTGAAATTAAAGCAATACTCTGTAATTAGTTACTGTAATTTAATTACTTTTCCCTTGAAAAAGTAAAGTAAGGGATTACTTTTACTGTAAGCCGTGATTTGTAAAGAGCAACTCAGACACTTTTAGTCTCCTCTGTACATGCATCACCATTTGAACACAATGTAGGAGTGAATTCTTTCATCCAAAGTGGGAGATGGAGTGTGTTTATTAAGGGTAATAAGAGATCCCGTTCCATTATTATGTGCTAGAGTAGATTTGCAGAGCCTTAATGGAAACTAGATCTAATGATTTGCCGCCTTCTGAAGTTAAAAGGGTCCTGTGAACTAGTTTGCCACCACTTGTCTCTAAGAAGATAGACACAAATGGCAGGCAAATTATGTCAAAAATGGCAAAGTCTCAGATCCCAACATAATGCCAATAACACTTGATCCAGTGAGAAATTGTTCTAAAATATTGGATTCTGAATCAAAGCTATCTGAATGGTCAGTGAAAATTCAAATTCCTTGTAAGTTCACAAACAAAACAAAGAAAAGTGTGAGAATCTGATTTTATGAGCAGATTAGGAGATCATAAAAGGTATTTGTATGTAAAATGTACATTTGTTCCAAAATTGTGTTATTACTTATATAATACATAATAAACAAACCTTCAAAAATTATATTTATTCTACATTTAAAGTATATAATGTTTTTATGTTCACCAAAGCTGGATTTATTTGATAAAAAAAAAAACACAGTGAAAATATTAATATTGTGAAATATTATTACACTTTTTGCCATTACTCCAATCTTCAGTGTCATATAATCCTTCAGAAATCATTCTTAAAATATTCTGATTTGGTGCTCAAGAAGCATTTATTATTATCAGTGTTGAACTGGCAAACAGAAAGTTCAATAGAACTGCATTTATTTAAAATAGATTTTTTTATAAATCATTATAAATGTGTCTTCTGTCACTTTTAATTAATTTATTGCATCCTTGCTGAATAAAAATACAAATTTCAAAGTAAAAAAAAAAAAAAACGTACTGACCCCAACTTTTGAACAGTTTATACAAATTTAAAATGTATCAGTAATTAGACGTTCTAAAATATAAATAATTTTATGTATAGACAGATTTATATGAATTCCCTGTTAAATTCAATAGATACTGAATTATTTGAATTACTGTAATTATGTATAATGAGATTCATTAAAGATGTTTAATGTCATTCAATTTATCTGTACCTATCCAAATATATATGTGCAAGAACCTCGCTTTACATAAAAATCGCCTACGAATACTAATGAGGTCACATTTCATTAGTATTCACACATCATTCATACACAATTTAAGCAGTATATACACGGATATGATATATTTACAATTCAAAATTTCATCCTTGACTTTCACTTAGACTGTGGACATTCATAAAGAAAAAGTTGCTAGACGAGAGATCGGGATCCTTACCACCAACAAAAACACATCTCGGACCCACAAAATCATCGCCCCCGGCAACATGGAGCGGCCCGTGCGCTACATCAGGAAGCCCATAGATTACACCCTGCTGGATGATGTGGGGCACGGTGTTAAAGTAAGTTTGGCATGTTTGATGTTCACTAGACAAGCATCATTCTTACTATTGTTCATACTTAGGTTTAGGGTTTTTGAAGAAATTATAAATCAAAAGTCACATCATGTATAATTAATGTTGACTTGTTAGCTTAGAGAACCTTTTTTTTTATATAAACCAAGAAAAAAATACAAGACCTCAAGTCAGTACATACTACATATAATAATTTATTTGATGGGGAAAAAACTGTTTAAAGCGTACAGAAAAAGGTAAAAAAGAATCCAATGTTGGAATAAAATGTGACTAGTTAATATACAATAAAATATAAGAGAACCTGTTATTTCTACCATGTTGCTGTTTTCAAACTCAAACAATGAAAATTGTGTCATCATTTGTTCCAAAGCTGTGAATTTCTTTCTTCTGCTGAACACAAAAGAAGATATATTGAAGAATGTTGACGGTAGCCATCGACTTCAATTGTATTTTTTTCCATACCATTGAATTTAATGGCTACCATCAATTATTTGGTTACCAACATTCTTCAGAATATTTTCTTTTGTGTTCAGAGTAAGAAAGAAACTGATACAGGTTTGGAACAACATGAGGGTAAATGATGACAGAATTTTCATTTTTGGGTGAACTATCCCTTTAAGTGTAGTTCAAACATTTTAGAATCGCGACTGGATAATTTTGAAATGACTTTTCCTTGATGAAATGAATAAAAATTATGCGCAAACTACACCTGACTGCTTTACAGTATTAACAGTATTCAAAAGTGGATTCAACAAACTGATAAAGAAATTGATCCATCATAATCTACTGTGTGTGTGTGTGTGTGTGTGTGTGTGTGTGCGCATGTTTATGTGGTTTATGAGGACACAAATTTGTATAATAACATGGGTATGACATAGGTATTACAACGAGAAGGTGATTTATGAGGACATTTTGAGTGTCCCCGTAATTTAAAAGGCTTATAAATCATTCAGAATGAAGTTTTTTGAAAATCTAAAAATGCAGAAAGTTTCCTGTGAGGGGTAGGTTTAGGGGTAGGGTAGGTGTAGGGCAATAGAAAATACGGTTTGAACAGTATAAAAACCATTACGCCTATGGAGAGTCCTCATAAACCATAAAAACCAACATGTGTGTGTATGTGTGTGTGTTTGTAGACCCCTCTCGGGTTTCCCTCACTATATTCATGTTATTAAATTATTCATGTCCATCAGTGTCAGCTCTGAGCTGTTATAATGACATTGCTCTCTGGACCCTCTTACCGATGTTATCACATTAGATTGTCGCTATCTGAACTGAGATGTAATTAAGAAAGATGTCTTTGCCTTTTTACTTTGACCTTTATGTGTCTTTTATGGTTTTTATGGGATGAAGCCATGATTGGTGTGGATGGTGTGTTGTCAACATTATTCACTAGCTGTTCAGCCTTTTCATTCCCTATACATATAATTGAGGCAGATCTTGAGGGCATGTGCCGGCAGCTCACCCCGAGACCCGTTTCAACTGCTTCATTAGTTTGGTGCTCCCCCTTGGCGGAGTAAACGCCCGCAGGCTGCCCTCATACTGGCTCTGTAATTAGGACACTTAACTCATCAAATGATGCTCTCTCTGTGTCTTTCACGTGTGATTGACATGCCCAGACACGCCTCTCTCCTCCGCCATCAGTCACAACTTTATGTTGCCATTATCATAATCGCTGGATGTCGGATTGATACCAAAATTTCAAAATTCAATAACAGTACTAGTAAAAAAAATGTTATCAATCTCAATGTTACCACAGCAAAATGTAATATGTTACTAAACATACTAGTATTTTTTGCAACAATGTGTTTAAATTACAATTTTTAATTATTTAAAATTCTTACCTAATAAAAAGGTAATAACAAACAAAGTAAGGACTGTTTATATATACCATGGTACTGAATGAACTACCTCATAAATAAATAAATGTATGTATGTATCGATGTATGGATAGACAGAACAGATATAGAACACACATAATATATATATATATAGAGAGAGAGAGAGAGAATTTATTTATTATTATTATTTTTTTTTTTTATATATAAATTATAATATTTCACAATATTACTTTACTGCATTTGGCGAACATGAGAGACTTCTTTCAAAAACGTAAAAAAAAAAAAAAGTTTACCAACCCCAAGCTTTTAAATGTTAGTATATACTTCAGTCATAAATGTCAGATTTTTATCCATTAAATATATATTTATATATATTTTTTACATATCCGTATTTGACTCAGAAGCAATTACCAAGTACTGTTAAGCATTATATCATATTTATTAATGACTTACTAAAAAAAGGTATTATACATTGTTGTTAGCAACATGTTTGAGGAGTATGGGAGAGTAAAATTAAATTTTTCCATAATGTTATGGCATATTAACTCATATTAGCTTAGCTAGATTGTTGTGGACCTAATACCAACAATTCTGTGAAATACGTATTTGAGGCAGTTTCCTTTGAATGATGGTTAAAGCTGCAGTCCGTAAGTTTTGTCTCTTGGTCGCCATCTCTGTTTGAAAACCTGGAATTGCAGCTGTGTGCGGAATTATTTAGTTTGCGTGGGTTGTGAGTCGGCACGGCTCCAGCACGGATTAATCTAATGTTCCGAAGAGTATGTGTGGCAGTCAGTCACCACACTGGTGTGAATATTTACTGTACTTCGCAATCACAGATTCTCGCTTATGTCTTGGAATATGACCCAAATAAGAATTTTCACCGTATATTGCCATCTGAACAAGTAAGTAACAAGTCTGCCACGTTTGTTCTGACCAACTGAGGAAAAAAGCATTACCATAAATCTCGCTACCAATGGTGATTAAATCTAAAGATCGGTTAGCTCATATCACATCAAACCGTTCAAATTATTATTATTGTTATACTTTATTCTCAAATGATTAATGTATATCTGGTATAGTTACTGTAATCAGATATAATATCTGTAATCAGAAGCACATTTATAACTGGAATATAATTTAATTTCATTCACATGTGTTTCATAAACACATAATCCTTTATGGATTACAATCCACTCTCAAAATGATACATTTAATTATTCTGGCTGCTGTGAGAAAAGGCTATAAACGATCGGCCACCTGCAGGATCCTCGCATGCGATAGCCTAGTAGCCAGTACAACTTTTTTATGTTTACAGACGTGATGTAATGACGCAGTGCCATGCTCGAATTTCCCACGAAAACCTTACCCGTACCACTCAAATTAGAAAACATTATTATAAACTAACCGTTGTGAATTGGGCTAAAGTAAGGCGATAGTTTTGAACTCTGGCTGGTTATGTACTTGCTCAAATATTGATTTCGGATCATTTTTAACCAAAAAAATGACAGACTGCAGCTTTAACATATTTGCTGTGCAGCTACGATTATAGGTTTTTAACTTTTAAAATGATCTGTAATATGTTAAAATAAATCCACATGTGATTGTGACAAAAAAACATGCCATTGTCACATCGCGTTATAGTAAAGAACATTAGGGATAATTATAAATTAGAAATAGTGTAAGCTAGAAAAGACATTTGATTGGATTCATAATTCTGCTTTCTGTTGTAAATGAACCTGATTAGATGGTAATTATGACTGACGTTTATGCGATTATCATTCTAAGCAGCTTTGACTTTCTGCTCTGTCTTGATTCCTATCAGTCAAATTAGATCAGTGTTTGTTTGATCTTTATTCAAAGCTCTTTTGTTTCGTTTCTCCTCTCACTTTTTCATTGCGTTAAAGTGATTAAATAACACGATTTATCTTCTCTCTTCCTTAATGCTTTCACTTAGTGGCTTAAAGCAAAGGTAAGTACAGCCTTACACAACCCACAATGCATTCTGGCTCCTACATCACTACCACTGGTTCTTTATTTCCAAACATCAAACTTTTTTTGTGTAATGAACATTATAGTGCATCTTCATAATTCAATATGAGAAGACTTTTTTCATTTATTTGTGAAAAACTGGTACCATTGTAGGAGTGTAATGGCTTAGTAAAATTCAGTCTGCATACAACACATCATAAAACCATCATATTTTACGGTTTTGTTCAGTATAAATATTTCTTTGTAGTTTACGTCATGCTGTATGTTTGCAACTGATTAGCATTTAGAATAAACAGATATTGTCATGACTGTAAAGGTTGTCATCATGTTCTTTTCCCTGTCAAATGTCTTTCAGCAAGGGAATAACCAGCCAGCTCGGGGAGGTGGAGGAACATTATCCAGGACTAACCCACCCACACAGAAGCCCCCAAGCCCACCCATGGCAGGGAGAGGTACCCTGGGGTAAGTCACTATATTACACTTTTCATGTGTCAATGCTGTTTTTGTGTACCTCCATTATTAGAATGTTATAAAATATGCTGTCTCATGTGATTTTGTTATTTGTACTGTCACAATTCTTGTGTTATTAGGAGTCTGGCATCTGAACATCATCATTTTTTCTATGTAGTTTCTACTGTAACAAATGTGTGGTTTTTTTTTGTTTTTTTTTCCAGACGAAACACACCGTATAAGACGCTGGAGCCAGTCAAACCTCCTGTGGTGCCTAATGACTACATGACCAGTCCGGCTCGCCTGGGCAGCCAGAACAGCCCAGGACGCACTGCCTCGCTCAATCAGAGACCCCGAACGCACAGGTACAGCTCACACATGCACAACACATTCACAAGACAACACAGGCCTTCTGATGGGACACTGTGCTGGGCATACTGGAATATACACTACTGTTCAAAAAGTTGAAAGAAATGAATGCTTTTATTCAGCCAGGATGCATTCAATTGATCTAAAGTGACAGTAAATCGTTTTATAAGACTTTTTAATAAAAGATTTATGTTTTCTGTTCATCATAGACTCTTAAAAATGTAATGTGGTTTCCTTAAAATATTAAGCAGCACAACTGTTTAACATTGATAAAAGTAAGAAATGTTTCCTAGATTAATTTCATGTGAAACTGAAGCCTGGAATAACAGCTGCTGAAAATTCAGTTTTGCATCACAGGAATAGATTACATTTAAAAATAATCATAATAATAATAAAAAAAAAAAATTTGTAATTGTTAGAATATTTCACAATATTACTGTATTTTTGATCAAATAAAAATAAAAAATCTCACTAACCCCAAACTTTTAAATGGTAGTGTATGCTGAAGTCAAAAATGTCCAGTTCAATTTATTTAGACTTTCATGAGAGCTAGAATGTAAAAACACCATCAGAACAGCCAAACATAAGATATTTTTTAAAGCTTGCAGTTACAGTTACAAGAAATAGTCTAAATTTTGAGATATAAAGTCACGATTAGGAGAAATAAAGGCCCAGAAATTAGCTTCTGTGTGTTTCTAACCTTTAAAAAAGATTTATGTTGGTGCAACTTTGGAACATCCTTAAACTCTCGTAATCTCCATCTTTATTTCCTTTTCCTTTCTCAAAACACTGATGTGTCAGTGAAGTTATGGCATTCACTTACCCTTATTTATTGGTCATTTTTTAAGTTCTATGGTGCTGTAGTATAAATCTGGAGGTCTTCTTCTCTTTGCTGATAAACTTGATTCACCTCTGTCATTGCTTTCCCAGCGGGCTTGTTATACTCACTGAGGAAAACTGAAGGTGAATGAGGTTGAAAATAACAGTAACCTTTGGTTTATCACATTTATTCTCCAGATTCAAGTTATAAAAGGTTTTGATAGTGCCATAAATTACTTTATTGATGGGCTGAGAAATGGATGCCACTTTGTGAATTTATGACAATGCATGCTTGTTGGTTTAATAGCTCTTTGTAACTCTGTTGTCTTTCTTTGTCTCAGTGGCAGTAGTGGAGGCAGCGGCGGGCGAGAGAACAGCAGTAATAGTATGGGAATCCCTCTGGCTGTGCCAACACCCTCACCTCCCAGTATTGCACCAGGTGACAGCTCACATTTTTCACAGTGGCCATTAGCGCTGGGCGATGAACAACATCATATCAAGATGATCAAATTTATGTCGATATCATTGATAATCAACATGGAAAAAAATATTGTGATAATATTTTTGGGCATATCGCCCAGCCCAAGTGGCCATGCTAGATTTAAAACGGGTTATTTTGGTCATTCCTCCCACCCCTGATTGAGTCATCTATTTTTTTGTACTTATCTTCTGTGACTGTCCTTTACCTCTGTCCTGTCTACAGTAGTTCCTCAAGGTCCAGGTTTGGGCCCAATCCCGATGTCTCAGTTTGGAACAATCTCCCGGCAGATCTCCAGACACAATTCCTCTACCACTTCTTCCTCTGCCTCTATGGTGTCAGCCACCGGCACCTACCGGCGCGCCCCTGCCGGCTCCTCCCAGTTCTCTGTGCCTCAACCCCACCTGAACGGGGGTCCCACATACCCGCAGAACACAAGTGAGTTCAGTTCCAAGTTAGGGAGAGATATTTAGTGACCCTAAAAAGTACTTGGACAACTAAAGGGATAGTTCATCCAATCATGAATGATAGTTCAAAAATTACATTTTACTGTTCATTTACTCACCCTCAGGCCATTCAAGATGTAGGTGTTTTTTTCTTTAGTAGAACAATAAAGCAGGTTTTTAACTGAAACCGTGGTTCTTGGTAATTCATAAAATGCAATTCATCAGCTACTGTCTTACTGAGAGTCAAAAAAAAGCTTATCAGGCCACAAAAAATTAATCCCCGTGACTCCCGACAATATATTAAGGTCTTATGAAGCGAAACAATCAGTTTGTGCAAGAAACTGAACATTATTTATAACATTATTATCTGTAGCCTCAGGCAAACGATCCGGAGTAATGTCTGGTTCGGGCGAAATTAATGTTTTTTTTTGTTTGTTTGTATTTTTGTTTCTCATGGTTTATGTAAAAAGGTGAGTTGATTAGGAGTAGTTTATTAACTTTATATGCTTTACACATGGTAAAACACCTATGTTTCACATCATTATATGGTACTTTATTAATATAATTGCGGATGTCATTTTTTTATTTCGTAAACGAACTGGTTAATCAGTTATTAGAACCTTTATTCATTGAAACGAACTGTCTGAAAGAACCAGTTCACTGAAAATAATCAGATTTCCCTGTTTGGTTGAGGCTCTGGATTGCAGCTAATAATGTTGTAAATAATGTTCAGTTTCTTGCACAGACCAATCGTTTCGCTTCATAAGACCTCAATATATCATCAGGAGCCACGGGTATTAATTTTGACTCTCAAAAATGACAGTAGCCATTGACTTGAATTTTATAAATCACAAAGAACCTTCTTTACTGTTCTACTGAAAAAAAAAAAAAAAGTCACCTACATCTTGAATGGCCTGAGGATGAGTAAATTAACAGCAAATGTTTGTTTTTGGGTGAATTATACCTTTAATTTGCACTGAATGCCATTGCATTAGATAACAAATATCAAGCTCAAATGTGTAATTTCTTAGCCACTAGCAGCACCAATCACTTCTCTGTAATAAAAGAGGTTACTAGCAGACCTAGTAACCGATGATCTGCCTGCTTTTCTGCTTTTCATCTCTTCATGTCACAATAACACACAACGGCTTTTACCTTCTGTCTGTTTATCTGCCTGTGTGTAACTCTTTGGGCTTGTTTTTGCCTGTTATCATCGGTCTGTCTGGCTGAATGTGTATGAATGTGTATGAATGTGTGTGTGTGCATCTGCGCTCCGTGTGACTCCAGTGTCTGTCGCTCCACCACCTCCTCCCTTGGCGCAGCTGACGCCCCAGATTCCTCTCACTGGCTTTGTGGCCAGAGTTCAGGAGAACAGTGAGTAATGCACACAGAAGCATAGTGCATAGACCGTCACATATGGTCTCCGTTCACCTACCTGCAGCCTGCACTGTCTGAATTATTCTCCGAACCTGAAATTTTACATTTAATATTTCTATTTATTAAAATATAGATATTTTGAATAGATGGAATTTAAACTGTATATATATAATAATATAGCTTTTTATTGGTGGTGTTTTCTAAGGTAAACATCATTATTTATATTGCTCATCTGTAGGGTCAATGACAGTCTATTGATTTAATTTATTCAAAACAAAATTCATACATACATGATTAATATGTTTTTAATTTCTAAATTAATTGTAATATTTTTATGTGTTATTGGCATCTCTTTTTATTATTTCTTAGAAAGAATGTAACAAAAAATTGATCCGTTGAGGAATTATAGTATACACATGTGAAACTGTTTTGTTACAATATTTAAAAAAGATTAAAAAGTGTTTTCTTAACATTTTCTTGTACCCGGGAATTATTTGATTGCTTTACTTTAAATGTAATGTGTACTGTGCCACCGTCAATATTAAGAGAAGCATTTCTAAATGTAGGATTCTGACATTAAAACTGAATTATGTCATAGTGAGGGTTTCCCCTCGTCTTTGTCCTCCAGTAACAGACAGCCCGTCTCCACCCCCTCCTCCGCTACCTGAGGACACGCCCTTGTTTGAGGAAGCAGCTCCGCCTCCTCCACCTCCACCTGTAGATTATGATGAAGAAGACGCAGCTCTGGTGCAATACAATGACCCCTATGCTGATGGAGACCCTCACTGGGCCCCAAAATCCTACTTAGAGAAGGGTAAGAGAGCGCCCTCTGCCTTTGAGCTGACATTTTCTCCCTCTACAATGAAGGACCTTCATAGATGGATGGATCGATAGACAGATAGATAAATAACCCATGTCATACTAACCGTGTCTGCTCCGTTTCAGTGGTGGCCATCTATGACTACGCAAAGGACAAAGATGATGAGCTGTCCTTCATGGAGGGCGCCATCATCTACATCATCAAGAAAAATGATGACGGATGGTTCGAGGGCGTGAGTAATGGTGTGACCGGACTGTTTCCTGGCAACTACGTCGAGTCCATCATGCACTACGCTGACTAATGCTAAATCCCAGAGACGGCGTGCAATGCAGCCAATCAGTTACAAACATTGCAAAGTGCATTAGGATATGACTGAATGTTTGTTTTCGTCCAATCGCCAATGTATCCAAGCATCTGCAGTGCTCAAGGTTTGAGGAGACAGAAGAATATGAAAAGAAACAAGTCTCGCTGCTTTCTGCTTAGGTTGCCTCATATGTTTTGTACATATATTACAGTGAGACGTTGCCTGTAGGCTGTTGCTAGTGTTTGTTTTTGTGCGTGTTTTGTCATCGTATAGAGACCCGTATTTGCCAAGTGTCCGCTAGGGCTAGTTAGTTTTGATTTTTCCAAAACCTTTTTTTTTCTTGTTTTTTATCTAAACTGTCAAGCTCTTCCTTTACCGTGAGGAAGAAATGTTTGAATGTCATTTCTGGAATATTATAATGCCTGGTAAATAATTAGGCGACAATATAAAAATGACAATTACGTCTTTACCTACGTTTTGCCTTCGGGTTTTGCTAATGTTTTGGCTAATCATTTTTGCTCATGACTGTAAGGTGAGGGAAAAGACCGATGCAGTAATGTGCAGAGATTCTCCTGCATATCAGACTAAATTTCATAAACCTGTCAAAAACATGACCACACTATATATATATATATCACCCCAAAATAGACTAAAGAAATGATCATTACGAATTATATTTTACTCATAGACAATGATGCCTATTTTTTTCATTATGGCATTATTTTCATGACAATTAAGCACATTTTCCCCAAAATTTTTACTATAATGCAAAGTAAAAAAAATAAATAAATCTAATTCTCATCGCTGTAATATCTTTCTTGTACTGCCATTAATTTATGCTGATTTAAGTATGAAAAAACATTTATTACAGTAATGATAATCAATAATGGGAATTCTAAGAAGAAAAAAAAGTTACATGCAAAAATTCTTGATGGTCCTACAGGCATCGTTTCCTTTATGCAAAACAATTCTTTTTCTTTTGTGACCTAGACATGTTTTCATGAGATTCACCCATATACTACGAGTATAAACTGTGCCAAGCTGGTCTTTGATGGTGTTTTTGTTGAAACTGCTGAAGTATTGTGAACTTTATTATGTTGCACTGAGCGGGCGACACTGGCTCACTAGCGGAACCAGTCTCTAGCATTGCCCACAGATTCGTGTTTGTTACATAAAGTAGCAGAAATCAGTTTCTGTGATTGTATATTTCATGTAGGGGGACCATGCAAAGCTGAATTTGTCTTTCTGTTTTGGCCAGTTCAGAAGTTTTGCTGAATTTAGATTTCATGAAAAAAAAATCAAGTTTAGTGTATAGTACTGATGAATGTGAGCTCATAACTGTTAGCATGGCACAAACATCGAAGATGATTCTGGTTTCTGGTTTTTAGAAGCGTCTCAAACTGCTGTTGAAGGCGAGCAGTGTTTTAATTTATTGAAATATCTGTGAGAATGTAACTCACATAGAGCTGTCTGAACAATGACCAACTAATGTTAAGCATTGCAAGGCCTTGTAATATGATGTGCAAGTGATCTGTAATTTAAATGTTCCTTTGCAGATTATCTGCAAATAATATCATCTCTGTTATCATTTTGTATATATAATCTGTTTTTCTTTTTATGTACAGTCTCTTTTTATAATAAAGCACTCACCTGTGCAACATACTGTTTTAGATGTGCTTAGATGCTAGATGACAAAAATTTTATTGATTTTTAATTCAGCACAACACATAAAAATAGCACATTTTTAAGGTTCCAACAAAGTGGTTGCCGAGCAACACACAGAAGTAAACAAAGGTGTAGCTTCGAACCCGGCTCAACCTGCTAAATTATTACCCCTCTCGTTGAAATCGCTATCTGATTGCCTAATCCTAACCCCTCCCCCAAACCTAACCCTAAACCTACCAATACTAGGGGGGAAATAATCTGGCAGGGGTCAGAATTGGGCACAACACCGGAACTATCCATTTTATAATATCACTTTCCAATGAGTGCTGGGCAGGTTACTTCAAATTATAGTCCGTTACTGATTACAAATTACTTGATGAAATTGTAGTGTAATGTAATCTATTGGATTACACATGTTGGGTAATGTGTTCTATGTTTTTATTACTTTTAGATTACTTTTGACCTAGCTGCTCAACATTATTGATAACATTATTTGTTATCAACTCCATGAAGTGTAAATAAGATGCAGGGGGTTTATTAGTTGATAAAGAGCAGATTAATTATTTAAATCATAAAAATGCCTAATTTGACTAATTAGCTCATTTTAAAATAATAATCAAAATAAACACTTAAAAACAGTAATACTTTATTTGTTTTTCTGCATGTCAATGTGATTCACTTGCGCTTTGAGTGCCCAGAAAAGCGCTATATAAATGTAAGAAATTATTATTATTATTATAAAAAAAAAAGTTATGCATTCTGTTTGGTATGGATGTGTGGATTACACTAATAAATTGAGAATTTGTGCATTTTGATTTGTGTGTAAAAAAAAAAAAAAAAACGAAAAGCCCTCCAAGACATAATAAATTGGTGACGATAATAATAAAAAAAAACAATAATAATCAAATAAAATAATAATCAAAATGTGCTCATCAGACGTTGATTAGATTTGCATTGTTGAGGAATAAAGTGTACCTCCACATGTTTTTTAAGATCCTTTGCAGTCGATAGGAAACCTATTGATAGGGCAAATAAATACCAAATGTGACCCTGGAGCACAAAAGCAGTCTTAAGTCGCTGGGGTATATTTCTAGCAATAGCCAAAAATACATTGTATGGGTCAAAATTATCCATTTTTCGTTTATGCCAAAAATCATTAGGATATTAAGTCAAGATCATGTTCCATGAAGATATGTTGTAAATTCCTCACCGTAAATATATTCAAACTTCATTTTTGATTAGTAATATGCATTGCTAAGAACTTCATTTGGACAACTTTAAAGACAATTTTCTCAACATTTAGATTTTTTTTTTTTTAGCACCCTCAGATTCCAGATTTTCAAATAGTTGCATCTCTCAGCCAATATTGTCCTATCCTAACAAACCTTACATCAATGGAAAGCTTATTTATTCAGCTTTCGGATGATGTATAAGTCAAAATAAATCAATTTTGAAAAATTGACCCTTATGACTGGTTTTGTGGTCCAGGATCACATATGAATAATTTCCAGCCATTGTGTGAATGATGTGTAATGTATTTTGTAAAAAGTAAATGTAATCTGATTATGAGCGTTTTAAAATGTAATCTGATTACGTAATCCAGATTACAAGTAATCAGTTACTACCAGCACTGCCAGTGAGCACCAGGTCTTTAGCATCTGTACACTTGTTTCAGCTAGGTGTAAAATCTTTAGTACTTCTTTTTCCAAGCTACAGCATAAAAGACAACGAAAATTCAGAAACTAATAAACTTATTAAAACTAATAAAGGAATTCACAAAAACACTTTCTTTGCCACTATTTTAAAGAAAACATTTAATTCTCCATCAAAGATTCCCACCACAGAATCTGTTCATCTCTAAATGGACAGCAGAGGGTGATGTGGGTCTGAAAAGGAAAGTCCATTTCTATAACCTCACAATAATGATTCCCAACCTCGGGTACCAGTAGAGTTTTCCCCCCTATAAAGCAGAAATACTTTAAAATGGTCAGTTTTAGTGTTTTTTTTTCTTTTTCTAATAAGTCAAATTACATTTTTTATGAAGTAAAATTTACATCTCAAATCTTCATTTTGTCAATGACACTAGAAGTGGAATATACAGTATGTTCTTTTTCTAATAAGTCAAATTACATTTTTTATGAAGTAAAATTTACATCTCAGATCTTCATTTTGTCAATGACACTAGAAGTGGAATATACAGTATGTGCATAAACATAAACATGCACTGGACTGTACAGGCAGCTTCCTTATCCACCTTTTACTTCAACGCGGAAGTAAGCCTATGGGTGAGACTTCCGGTCCATTAGCCGCTATCGGTAAATAACGAGGAGAATAAGAACGTGCAGTAAACGGTAGAACTGTTTGCACTACAAACCAGTGTGTTCGTAATTAAGATAATACATTAAAATAATATGATAAGACACACCAACTTTCAATATCAAGCAGCAAAACGAACTGTTTTGTTCAGCTAAAAATAGCTGGACGGAGTGGACGAAGATGAGACCGGAAGCCAGACCCATAGAATTTACAAATGGCCGCGCCCATGTTTATGACAAGAAAAAGGTGGATATATGATTCAGAAAGAGACTTAATCGAGTTCATGATAGCTTGTGTTCCTAAGTTGCAGTTTTATGAGCAAAACCTCATGTGCAAGCTTAAGGCTTGGCTGAATTTCTAATAAAAACAGTTGTATAGCTGGGAGGGATCTTACTCTGATGTACATGGAAAGGAAGCTTTATAATGTGGAATTTATTTTGATGAATCATTAGGATATTGGTTTCATCAGTGTTCAACGAAGAGCCTGCCAACTGCATTTACAAGAATAAACGTTCTAATATAAAGCAGCCTAAGGTTTTGTAAAAATAAGTAATTTGATACATTAAAACAAATACAAAATATCAAAGTAAAATATATAATTTAGTAGAGTGAGTTTTAGGGAACAGAATACTTTGTATTGCAAGGCACAATTTGTAAATTACCTTGCATACCACAGCATACAGCAGTGTAATTTTGTATTTTATCATAGTTGATACAGGCAACTAAATTAGAATCAAGAAACGTGAAACAAACCTCAGTACAATAAACTGAAACTGCACTGGACTGTTCAATTAAATCATTTCCCAAAAATAAGTCTGTAAAATATAATACAGTTTTATTTACCATGCAGTCATGCAAAGAACACAATCAGTATAAAAAATTAATATATTGACTGCAAATGCAAGGGAAAAACATCCCATTTTAGTCCATTAGGCTTTAATGAGTACTTTGAAGAGAGAGGACAACATCTATTGTTACCATATGAAAGTGAAAACGGTGGATGTAAACAGCCAGGTCTGGTTTCTCCTGTCTTGCCAAGAGCTCAGCAGCCACATCTGTTTGTTCTATAGTGGGGAATCTTCAGGATCCTGGGTTGAGGTGTTTTAGAGCCTCTGTTGGCCACATGCTCTGGGAATAAAATGCATGCACTATTACAGAGAAATTATGAAAAGTAATATAAAATACAATCATTTAAATCAGTGGTTCCCAACCCTGGTCCTGGAGGCACACTGCATGTTTTGCATGTCTCCTTAATCAAACACACCTGATTCAGGTCATCAGCTCATTAGTAGAGACTCCAAGACCTGAAATTGGTGTGTCAGAGAAAGGAGATATGCAAAATGTGCAGTGTTGGGGTGCCTCCAGGACCAGGGTTGGGAACCACTGATTTAAATGACCAAACAGGGGCCTTTATAGCTTTAAAAAATAACAAATAAAAATGCAAATTAGTACAAATATTATTATTAATGACAAGTTCTGTCATTATATTCAGT